TATTGTTTTATGACATTGGTTAACAACCCCACGACATGTCAACACTCTCCCTTCTCAACCTTGGAGGAGCTTTTTTTTTTTTTTGTGAAAATATACATAGCGAAAGTTACACCATTTCAAAAGTTTCTGCGTGTACAATTCAGTGACATCAATTACATTCTTCCAGTTGTGCTGATCGTCTCACTATCCTTTTCCAAATTATTCCATCACATCATCTTCAGCTCACTGCCTCCTAGGCTTCCCATCAGACCTTTTCAGTTGCTGTTGTCAATTTGATCTCACATAGATAATTCTTTTTTTTTTTGTACCTTAGATGAAGATTTGCAGAACAAATAGTTTCTCAAGGGTATTGAAATTTTTAATGACTTAAAACCAGGGCTTTGAACCAGTTCATTCCGGTTTGAACTCCTCCTGAGAATTTGCCTTTATTACAAGTTCCCTGCTGAGAATTTGCGTTTCCACTGCAGACATACTGAATCAGAATCTACAAGATCCCCAGATGATTCTTGTGTATAACTTCCTGGGAACTTGTTAGAAATGCAAATTCTCAGCAGGGGTACAAACAAGAACAAACCAGTTGGAAGCCCTGCTTAAAGCGAAGGATTTCAGTTTCTGGAATATTTTATATTTCATGCTTTGCATAACTTATAAACTGTGAAAGTTTATTTTTAGTGGTCTAGGGAAGAATATAGGATCTCGTTTGGGCCACCAGTGATGTCCCCAGAGAACCTGAATTTGACGGTTTCTCTCAGTGTGTCTGATGTTCCTCACCTATAAACAGTGAAAATACTGTGATCTACTTTAATTATGCTTAACACCAGTGTTTCTCTGTGACAAGTATCCCAAGTACAGATGCTAGAAGTGCCATAGATCTGTATTTTAAAGCTCACTTTTTCATGGAAGATAAAGAATCAAGTTACTTTTCAAAATGAACTAAACTTTGGTCCCTGCAGGAACTCAAGAACTACTTTCCTCCTTCCTGATTTCCAGCATGATTCATTTTGTTGTGTTATTAACTTCATTTACCTTCATTCCTGCTGAAGACCACAATATTACTACACACGCCAAATCCAATTTAATGAGAAGGACTTCACAGAACGCTATCAAACATATCACCAGACTCAAGCTAGGTGATGCATCCTGGCTTCTTTAATATCCTAATATAATGAGTCTGTAAAAACAGAGCAATCCCTTTTGTGTCACTTGAGTAATGATAACAATTTGGACTTACATGAGACCTCAAAGTGTTTTTCGAAACATCAATTTCTTAGAGAATGATGGATACTAATAATGCAAGTTGTATTTTCATTTCTGATTCCTGAGAGTGCATTCTCAGGGAAAACGCAAGAGGAGCGTGTTCCTGACAGTCCCGGAATACAGAGAGGCGCGTAGAGGCCTCAGGATGTGAGCACAGGGCCCTCTGAGTCGTCCTCCCCCGCCGTAACCTAGCATGTGAGATGAGTATGCTAACAGCGGGCCTGGCCACTTGGGTTTTTCAGTAAAATAACATAAAAGAAAGCCTCTTCATAGAAAAGCTGTGGTTTGTGGTGGTGGTGGTGGTGTTTTTAGGGTGCATTTTGACATAGTAGCCGTTTAGATGAAGTATGGAACAGATAGTTGCATGGGTGATGATTTGAAAAGCTACACCCCGACATCAGTGCACTTCCTGTGTGTGTGCCTGAATTGCCATGGCCAGGAGATCCTGTCCCAGCCTTGTCCCCTGCCTTTCCTGCTGTCCCTCCCTGCCAAGGCCGTAAGTAACCCTCCCTGCTCCGCAGTTGGTGGTCCACCTCTACTTACTTGAGGAATCTCAGGTCTGCGTCCCTACTTCGTAGTCGCATGTACACATTTATTTATAACTTTTTTTACCACCTTATTTGTGCCAGTCACGGTACAGGGCACTTGGGGATCCAGTGGGGAATCCAGTGGGGATTTTGCCTCAAAAGGCTCAGTTAGGAAGACCAGACATGTAAAAAGATTTTAAAAACCATTGCCATTGAGGCAATTCCGACTCATAGCAACCCGATCGGACCAAGTAGAACTGCCCTATATGGTTTCCCAAGGCTGTAATCTTTACAGAAGCAGACTGCCACATCTTTCTCCTGTGGAGCAGCTGATGGGTTCAAGCCAACCTTTCAGTCTGCAGCCGAAGGCTTAACCACTGAGTCACCGGGGCTCCTTCCAGACATGTAAATGATGTAAGAAATAAGTACTTAGTGGCAGAGGAGAGAACTTGGTTGCAGAGAAGAGAGAAATTGCTCCTAGTTGGAGAATTAAGGAAGGCTTCATGGAAGAGATCCCAGCTAAGACTCGAAAGATAAGAAAGCTCATGGAGTCACTGGAACTCAAAGCCACCCACTTCCATCTTCCTGCTAGCCCAAGGACAGAGTCCTTCTTGTGAATCACCCAAGTGACCCCGCCTCTTCAACGTTATCAAACATCTAGGCAAACTTTTAGGTTCCTCTGGCTCTCTCTGGCCATTTCTTCCTTTGGTGGAGAATCTGCTTCATATGGCCGCTAACATGAGCAGTCTGGCATCACTGCCCCTTGCAGCCAAAACGATATGAGTTTCTGCAGTGCCTCCAAGGAAGACCTGGATCTGCGGGTGAGGGCTTGCACAGCCGTATGGACCACTGCGCATCTGTTCCCTGCTACTCTGTTCCCCCTCCCTCTGTCGCAGTGAGCGTTGGTGTGGTACAAGATGATACAGTTAATTGGTCCGTGTTGAGGTTGCTCCCCACATTTCCCTTTGCGTTTTTTGGTTTGTTTGTTTGTTTGTTTGTGGTTCCCCAGGATTTTTTTTTTTTTTTAATTTTTGGTGAAAATATAACAACAAAACATAAAACCATCCCACAGTTTCTGCACATACAGTTCAGCGGCATCGGTGATATTCTTCACTAGTGTCACTATTCTGCCGTCTCTGCCCATGTTGCTTCACCACCAATAACTTCTACTCTCTGTGCCCCTTAAAGTTCTCGCCTGTGCTTTAGAATTACTCTTGTCAATTTGATGTCATGTAGATAATTCTTTAAAAGAGCACAATGATCAAGGTCAACATTGTGTATTAATGTTGTCATTTAGTTTTAAGATGACTTCATGGGATAGTTTTGGTTCAAGGTAAAGATTATTTCAGGACAATAGATTCGGTGCTTTCCCCAGCCTCAGTGGAGCTAGTGAGTCTGGTTTCTGTAAGAGTTTGACATTCTGTTCCACATTTTCCCTCATTTTGATGAGGGTCCATCAGTTGGGTCCTTGATCAAAACGTTCACTAATGGTAGCCAGGTACCAACGTTCCTTCTGGTCTCACGGCAAAGGAGGTTCATGGAGGCAAGTAGACCTGCAGTCCATTTCCTTCTCTGGTTCCTGGGTCTCCTTCTTCTACTGTTACAGACAAATAGAGACCAGTTGTATCGTGGGTGGCCACTTGCTGGCTTTTAAGACCCCAGGCACTACTTACTGAACTAAGAGGTAGAACAGAAACTCTAAAGACAACATTAGACTGAATAGACCCACAAAACCGTGACCATAAAGCTTAGAGCCAAGAAATCTAATCCCATGAGATATTTAATTGCACCTAAGTAATACCAATAAGTGCAACCTTTTTTTGGTTTTGGCTGTCATTGTTGTAAAATTATATATAACACTGTATTTGCCGTTCTGCCCTTTTTTCTAGTGTACAGCTTACTAATATTAGTTACATTAGTCAAGTTGTGTAACCATTACACTTAGTCGATGCCGGCTTCCCCATCACAGTAGACAAAAACTCACTACTTCCCAGAGATTGACTCCACCTTTCCCTCCCCCTCCCACCTGTGATAACCACTAGTGATCCTTGGTCTCTATGTACTTACCTGTTCTTGTCATTGCATTTAAGTGAGACCACACAATATCTGTCCTTTTGTGATTGGTTTGTTTCATTCACATTATATCTTCAGGGTTCATCCATGCTGTGGCATGTTTGAGGACTTCATTTTTCTTGAAGGCTGAGCAGTATTCCATTGTATGTGTGTACCATATTTTGTTTGTCCCGTCCTCTGTTGATAGGCACTTGGGTTGTATTGTGAATAATGATGCAGTGAACATATCTGTTTGTGTCACTACTTTTACGTCCCTGGGGTATATACCTACCTAGGGGTGGAATTGCTGAGTCACATGATACAATTTCTAATTGTCTGAGGAATTGCTGTACTACTTCCCACAACAGTTATACCATTTTACATTCCCACCAGCAGTGGGTAAGGATTCCAGTCTCCCCACATCCTCGCCATTATTTGTTGCTTTCTGTTTTATTGATCATTGCCATTGTAGTGGGGTGAGCTATTATCTTATTGTAGTTTTGATTTGTATTTCACTAATGGCTAATGACTACTATCACCCATTGCCATCAAGTCTATTCTGACTCATAGCAACCCTATAGAAGAGAATAGAACTGCCCCGTAGGGTTTCCAAGGCTGCAGTCTTTGCAGAAGCAGACTGCCACATCTCCCTCCTGTGGAGCTGCTGGTGGGTTCAGCCTTTTGGTTAGCAGCCAAGTGCTCAAGAACTGTGCCACCAGGGCTCCTCGAA